TTTTTTGCTTCATTTTTGCTTTCATCCTTTTTTGCTTCATTTTTGCTTTAAGTCCTAAAATTTAACAACCTGCAAGAAAACATATAAATACCTTCTATTAAAATGCAACATCACCAAAAATGAGTATAAAATATGGGTCTAAAAATGCATATATTTTTTGTGTATCAAAATTCCCCAAACTTACATGTTACTTGTCCACAAGTAACTCCTCTACTATATAAAAATATGACTTATGGTAAATAATTTAACTTCTATATTTTCATATCTTAGTCTATTAAATACAATAACATAACTTAAGAAAAAATCAAAACAACTTTAATTAATACTAAATGTATAAGAATATTTAGTAATCAAGTCCAAGAATTCTGCTTCTCTATTCTTTTCAAGAAAAAATTACAAATTGTCATATTAAGTCACTTAAAGTATTCACATGAAAAAAAGCTTCATAAGACTTTACTAGTAAATAAACTAATGCTCAAATAAAAGTTTAGAAAATATACCAAGCCTTCTTTTTTAATTTGGTTCAAGTGAAGCCAATTTTTAATTAGACATCTCCTCAAGCAACTTCCCACATCTTTTCTTTTCTTTTTCTTCTCTTTTTTTTTTCTTTTCTTTTCTTTTTATATTTGATGATTACTATATTTGGATGACCTTTAATGATTTTGAACTTCACTATCCTCCTCTTTAAGTCAAAAACTTGTCACATTTCTTCACTTAACAAATTTATCTTAGCTTAAAGATTTCAAAAATTTTAATTCTTTTCTTGTTACATGAACTTTTAAGATTTTTAGTATTTCAAAAATACAATTTTCTTTACTTAAAATAGAAAAACATAATTTTTTTTCTTTTATACTAAATATCTTAATCTTTAAAATTAACCTTTTTTTATTGAAAATTTTTACTTAAGTTTACTATATATTTAGAAACATAAATATAGTTATATAAAATTAACCCCAAATACCAAAGGTCATGTTAATTTAAAATTATGAAAATATAGTTAAGTGAGGATAAACAAAATTAAGTTTCTTTCTTTAAAAAGAAAATTTTCTTTTCCCCCTCAACTTAAATTTTAAAAAGATTTAGCATGAAGAACTGAAAAATAAAGGGTGAAAGAAAATATTAAATACATAAAGAAAAGACATACTTGTTGAAGATTCTGATTTTGAAATACTGGAGGTGCTAATATAAAAAGCTACAAGACTTAAAACATTAAATTGTACATATAAAATCTATACATATAAAATCTACTGAGAAAGAGTTAATTACACCACATTTAACAAAATACTGAAACTAACAACATAACTAAATTGAATTTCATAAATGAAAATAGTTTTACAAACTGCAGTTCGCAACTCAAAATAACTATAAAACAGTATCACAATCTAACAAACAGTCTCAACAATATGTAAAAAAAAAACAACACAATATCAAAGTACAATCAAATATAACTAAAAGAAATCAGATCAACAATCACCATCATCTTCTTCATCTACATTCAAATTCTGCCGCTGATATGGAATAAAAACATGGTGAGTAGGAAACTGAACTGAATGATTACCCTTTAAGTATCTCACTGATCCCAAAATTTGATATAGTTGTGTAAAAATTATAAAGTGGACTCCGCTATGCAACGACTTCAAAAGCTTGATGCAATATTTTATGAATAAGAAATTTAAGCAAATAATGGAAATTTAAGCAATTAATGTAAGCAATTAATGTTGAGATTCTACGCAAATATACGTATCATTATCAAGTAATAATGGACTTTCCATTTTAGCCACAAATATCGATCCCACGAGAAAAGTTTAAATTTGAAATGATAAATTTACTAGGAAATTCACAGAAATTCAATACGCAGAAATTCAATACGAAATTATCAATACGAAATTATTGTCACTAATTTTAAATGTTGAGATATTATCATAACTAAATTATTTAACTAATAGCAATACTGAAATGTAAAAATTAAACAGTAACTACTAAATTATTAAACAATTAAACAATGTTTATGTTTATATGATAAAGATTTCTTATGTGAAAAAGCATATTTCCCACTATAATGAGGTTTTGGTAAAATGAGATGTGATAAATGGTTATAATATGTATTGTGTCAAATAGGATCAGTTTTAATTCTCTACCCTGATACAGTGTTATAGAAAATCATTGGCTAATCTCAGGTTTAGTTCCTAAATTCGTGGCTAGGCTAAGAGGATATTGGCTCCCACTCCAGAGCTCTCACTTCCCTTCACCTGAAGACTAACTCTCGCTTTAGTTTTTAAACATTAAGATCGAATTGAGGATTTTAGTCTGTCACCCTAAAAGTTCTCAAACTCTACACCCAACAAAGTATATTTTCCTATTTATTTGCACTTAATTCCATGAACGAAGTTCTTCTTTATGGAATCAAATGTGATCTTCACTATGTTGTAGAACTCATAATCCATTTCTCGCATCATATGTTTTACAACATATTTTAATAATTTCATTGGCCAGATCGAAAAGTAAATTAAGTTTGAAGTTGAAAAATCATTACAATTTATTTTATATTTTAATATTGGCACATTCATATTATCTCTTCATTTCATCATAACTCAGAGTAAGGAGAAAGATAAAGTAAACTACTCAGACTTCATGAGAAAGATACAACAAAACACAAATTTTATATATAAAAGAAAGTTCATACAACACTAATAAACAAACAACACTTATCTGAAACTCTTTCTCAAAGCAAATCCCTTGTAGTCTCTCTTAGAAAATGTGGGAAGAAGAAATCTCTCACTTCTCTTCCTCTCCAACACTTCTTAGAGAGTAATTTACACTTAAACTCACCACCAAAACTCAAAACTATAAAGAAAATAAATGACTAATGGTGTGGAATGGTGTAAAGTGGCAAGAAGGAGTCGAAGAGATGCAAAGGGGGGCGATGGATGACCGAGAGGGGCTATTTTTCTGATCAATTTTGGCTCTTAATAGAGCCTAGGGGCCGT